GCAGATTTTAGTTCATGTAGTACAGGATAGACATACTACAACATACAGAACCCAAGAAGATAAGTAACTAGGAGGCCCCAAGAGAGGATGCTTCAGTCTCCCTCAGAAGGGAAAATAGAATAGACAGAGTTAATGGTTAAAGAAAGGGAACAAGGTAGAAGAGGGAGCCATGAGAGAAATAAAGGTAGAGATAAGGCACAGGAAGACAGAAGGCCTTCAGAGAGAAGAGAAACTGTGGGTGGGGTCATCTCTGTGACAAGCTGGAGACCTAAGTCAGAATAGGTCTCTGGAAAGACTCTGTGATGGGGTCTCCACTTAAGGCTGCTAGCAGCAGTGACCATAGAGACTGAAGAGGATACCCTCTAACAAGACAAGACTTCTAATGGTGGGAAGAGAACACCAAACCACCAAAAAAACTTCAGTATAAAACTTACTCAGCTTGTAAGACCTTCAGGGACAATGATAGAAAAGATAAAGCATAGATTGAGGAAATGTCCACCAATATTGTCCCAACCCAAGACCCACCCCATGGAAGAGAGCCAATGCTTGACACTATTAATGATACTCTGCTATGCTTGTTGACAGGAGCCTATCAGAATTATCTTCTGAGAGGCTTCAATGGTTCAAAATAAATGCTGAAACTCACAGCAAACGTGCAATCATAAACAGATACTATATTCACTATTTCACTTGTTACAGTTAAAGTGGGGTTAACATATATGATGAGGAAAAAAATGAATACACCATCTAAGAATACTTGTTAACATACAAATTAATATGTGGAAACCTTTGGCTAGAATTTGTGTATATAAAGTTTGAGGTCATTTGCTGTTCGATCCACTTGAAAGATCAGAAAAACATTTCTAATAGTGTTTCCTGTATTTACTACTACATGGCTAGCCTCCTGGGAAATAAAAAGTCAATAAAACAAAAAGAAAAGCTACTATACAATTTTTTTTTTTGTAAACGTCAATTAAAACAAGACTTTTGAACAATGCAGCTAGTCTTGAAGAGACCTGATAAACCAGGGTCAGATGGAAGGGGAGAAGAACCTCCCCTATCAGTGGACTTGGAAAGGGGCAGGAAGGAGATGAGGGAAAGAGGGTGGGATTGGGAGGGAATGAGGGAGTGGGATACAGCTGGGATACAAAGTTAATAAACTGTAACTAATATTAATAAAATAAAATATTTTAAAAATCTAAAAAGCAACATGAGTATTTTTTTTAGTTTTTGAATTTGTGTCTTGCTAAGCAATTGTGTTAACATGCTGTTGGAATAAAAGAGCAAGTTATTAAGATTTGAAGTATTGATAATATTTATCTCCAAAGATTTTGATGAAATTTTATTTAGAAGAGTAAACATGACAAGATAAAACATGAATTGCCAGTCACTGAAAAGAATTCTACAAGCAGTAAGATAAAAATGAAAACATTTTAACTTTTGTTATGTTTTATGATTTTTGCCTTTTAATATTAGAGTTTAGTTCATCAGGTGTTTTCATGTAAGATTGATTCCTTGCTTCAAACAATTACGCCAGGATTTTCTAAGTGAAACAGAATTGAAGCGTCACAATATGAGTTGAGTTTTACAGTTAAGGCAAAACAAAGCTTTCACTACAATGGCATTTAAGTGTCAGTGACACTAAGGCAAAGCCCTGCCTGAGAGCTGAGAATTTTTCACACTTTTATAAAGCAATGCCTGGGAGACCTCACTCAAAAAAAAAAAAAAAAATCTACTGGGTGTTGTAGGTGACTATTAATATTTTAATATTTACTATTGATATATCTTCTGGTAATGCTGCTGTTAGTCCTAAACAGCTGTATTCCCAAATCACCACGCAGACACTGGGATTTATTTAATTAACCTAGAACACAATCCTGGGTAATAGTTGTTCCATCCTAAATCTCCAAGCCCTCATAGTTTCCTAACATTTAGATTTCCTACATTATACTTGCTTTTAGTGATATATTAGGTCCAGTCCAACTCTCCACGTCGTTCCAAGACCTCTGCTCCTGCCTCTGTTCTCCCAACTCTCTGCCCCTCCTCCTCCTCCTCTGCCTCCCACCTTCCTGTCCTCTGGCTCCTTCCTCTCTTCCTGTTTGCTTTCTATTGCTCAACATTGTGGCTAGTTGCTTTATTTTGGCATGTTTACACAAAGTTGAGACAGGTGATGCTTAAAATAAGTATCACAATGCAATGTCTGGATTGAAACCAGAGAGTTGGGGGAGAGAAATCAGCATTTGAATGAATAAGGGTAAGGTGTATACATACCAACAACTGGGCTTGCTTCAGTGTACTGTCTTCCAGGAGTACAAAAACTTATATGTATGGTATGTGACCCAGACATCTCCATCCTCACAGCTATTGCTAGGGCATGACACTTTAACAAGTATAGACCCTCCAAGACAGAAATTCAACTTTCTACAAGCTGTTCTAGTAGGTCAGAGTCACATTTTTCATATCTTTTTTTTTTTTTTACCAAATTCTGTAATTTTTTTTTCGTTTCTCTGTTAGAATTATGAAGTGAATTGGTTGGCAGAAAAAGAAAACTTTTCTGTCATAGAATAGAACCATAAAGATTTATAACTCATACTATTTCCTGGGGTTTTCCATAGTCAGATGATTTTGGAATTAGTATTTCCTGGGTTTTGATTGATAACTGGTTTAACAGAGTTGAACAAATTTAGAAACTAAAGAGCTACTAATTGATAGTTTTTCAACTTTGGTATGCATTGTTTCATTTTTTTGTAAAGTCCTCCTTAGTCATTTAATTCCCAATGTAAAGTGTGTTTTACACAAAACCATGCTGATGATCTCAGTTGGTATATATACTACTTTTCTTGGTTCCCAGACTACAAAAACAGAACAAATAACATTTTAATCCATATTTTCAATGTATCTCCTTCATTGTAAACATTAACAAAAAATTAAAATGCCTTTAAATACAAAGTCTAAGACAAATTAAAATGCCTTTAAATACAAAGTCTAAGAAAGTGCAGCATCTACAATTCTCTGATAATATTCAGATCTATGAACTAAAGCCATTATTGTTCACCAAAGAATGCCAATTTATTCTTTTGCTTTAATATTTATTACAAGTTTTTCTTTATTTGTATGCATGTGTATTGGAAAATCAAACTGAGAAATGTAGGTGTCATCGTTAGTCTTGGCTGTCAACTTGACCTGCCTGGAAAGATGCAACCTCAGCTTCAGAATTGCCTTGAGCAGAATGGCCTGTGGCTATGTGTGTGGGGGCATTTCCTCGATTGGTGACTGATGCACTAAGTGGAGCACACTGTGGTAATGTCCCTGGGCAAATTGGCTGCATAAGAAGGGGATTAAGTAAGCCAGAGGAAACAATCTTCTAAGCAGCAGTCTTCCATGGCCATGGTCTCTGTGTCATTCCTGTCAGCTAAATAAACCCTTCCCTTCCAAGGTTGCTTTTGGTCAGTGTCTTATCACACACAGCAAGAGAAAGCCCACTAAGATGTTGGGCATGGTAACCAACCTCTTTCTGATTGAGGTTAAGGTCTGCAATAAAGGAGAAAACTCATGAGAGTTTCTGCACAGATGGTCAAGAGTGTAGGGCTGGGAGCTCGTGGACCATGGGGTGAACCTATCCTGTGATTCTGCTAAACAAAGGTAATATTAAAACACCCTCCACATTCATCTCTCCACCCCATCTCCATTAAGAAGAATGCTGTTCTACATCACATCAGAGATTTTTCTTTTTTCAGTGGATATAGCTTAAAGTAGATATCTCTAAGTGGCCAACATGAAAAGAATCAGTGTGAGTGCATCAGTGGTGTGCTCAGCCATGAGTGTAGTTTTCTTTATCACATCCTCCTTTTCTCAAGACTCAAGGATAATTTTGGAAGATAGGTTAAAAGATTATCGAACCAAAGGTTGGGGAAAGCCAGGGTGAAAAATTATCTCCTAAAGATGATAAACCCACTGTATTTATGGACAAAGCTCTTGTGATTGTCTGCACAAAATCAAGATAGCTAACATTGTAGCATGGAGAAGTGAGGGACTTACAAGCTCCCACCCTTAGCTGAGTAGCCAATGACAGTTGGTGGCTACTTAGGGATTGGGAGCCCTTTTTTTTAAGACGATGGTCCCCAGTAGGTTGCACATACTTCATTGGATGGCACAATACCCATGGATTTGTTGGCAATCAAGGTATAATTCTGTAGATTATTTAAAAAAGAAAGAAAGTAAAAGAAAAAATCGGTAAGGAGAGTGGGGGTGAAACTTAGAGAAGTTAGTTGGAAAAGAGAAGTTATTTGGAAAAGTGGGGTAGAAGAACATGGTCAAAGTACATTGTATGCATGCACAAACCTTGCATATTTAATAAAATAATATATTTAGTGAAGTATTCCATATAAAAGAAATGACGTAAGTGTCAGGGCTAGCAATAGGAAGTTTAAATATTCTATTTCTCTAATTTCAATTTTCTTTATTGTATGTGGTTTCTATAATGTAAATAAGGTAAGCACAATAGTTTCACTCTCTACAAAGGGGCAAAGATGACATCATAATGATTCATTATCGTTTCTTCTTCAAAGAAGAGGTAAATCTATAAGTGAAAATGTTACATATTGTCTGACACAAAAGGTAGCCATTGTATTTAATTAAAATATACATGTTGAATATTGTTTAATTTCCCAACAAAGAATTTTAAAAATTAACTTTCTAGCTGCTGGGGGTGGTGGGGTACATCTTCAATACCAGCACTCAAGGAGGGAGAGGCAGGTGATCTCTGTAAGTTCATGGCCAGCCTGGTCTACAAAGAGAGTCCAGGGTAGCCAAGGCTACACAGAGAAATCCATCTCAGAAAAAATAAAAGGAAAAAATAAAGTAAAACTTTCCACATAACCCAAATTAAAAATTTTATACATATTTTTTGTTTATCATAACAAGACATGTTGTGTTTGGGGTTAGGAATCTTGAAGATGATTTCAGATATGGAGTTTTTAACACAAATCCTTTCTTTTCAGAGTGACGTGAGTCCTTCCAGCAGTACCACCTCACTTCCCATCAGCCCTCTCACCGAAGAGCCACTGCCATTCAAGGTAAAATATAATCACACCCCAAAAACACTTTTTGTACTTTACACTTAGATAACCTTGCATACCATATAGCCACCCACAGTTGTGAAGTGAGCTGGTTAATCCCTCTTACCTGGTTGGTTGCCTTTTGTCTTATTTTGTCACCCATAAAGTGGAGATCCGTTTCAGCCTCTTCAGTGCTGAAGTTGGGGTTGTGCATCCCTGTGAGAAGACCTCCTTCATCTTTACTTGCATTATTTGAAGTGTTGTTTTGTTTCACTGTTCTGTTGCTACCTAGAGGCTGAAGGTTAAAATATTCTTGGAACAATTACCCCAGTCATAAATGACATGGGAAGTTTATTGTAACCTTTTGGTCCATATGGGGTAAGGATTTTTCACCCCATGTTTTTAGTTAGTCATTGGTTTACATGGAAAAATCTGCAGTATTTATTGTGCTTACTATTTTTTTAGCAACACTACTTAATGGTACAATCATTATAAAACAAAAGTTAACATTAAGTATCAATTAATTCTCCTAAACACATTCTCCTAGTTGAAGGTCATCATGCACTACAAATAGGGAAATTTCCTTGTTGCTTGCGAGGGTTAGTGATTTTAGCCATAGCATGAAAGTGAACTGTACCAACAATGTTTGTTCATCATTAATATTATAAATAGGGGCAACCTATAATAGTCTGGATGAAAAAATAGAATACTGGGATAGTTCAAATGTTTTTGCAGTTTGCTTTAAACTCAGAGTGATGCACACTTTACTGTCCATTGGGATGATCTTGATAGTTGTTTATAAAATTATTTGGGATTTGGTACTTTCTCATACCAGGATTTATGTCATTAAGCCTCATGCTACATATAGGCAATTGACTGATAGCTAGGGCTTTCTTTCATCAGCATATTGTATTATCAAGGTAAGCCTCCCAGAAGGCTGTCTGTTGAGGACCTTTACTTTCTATTCAAACCTCAGTTGTTTTATGACAGACTTAGTAAAATAAAAATCTCATTTCTGTGTCAAAAAATTGGTAAATACTACAAGACATTTATTGGGGGTATAAATGATTTGATAAAGTGAGACCATAGCTTGTGTTTTAAAATTTAGTATCATTTGGTATTTTCTTCATAGTATATGGAAGGAACAGAGGTCATAGAATAATCCTAACTTTACAAAGAATTTAGTAGAATTTTCAGAGCACCACAAAAAAACCATTTTCTCTTCTTAATATATGGATAAATTGCAATGCTAAAAATGAATGTGTTTTTAACAAAGGTTAAAATGAGTCATTTATATTCTAGAATATGCTGAAATAAAACGAATGTAAGTACAATTATTTTGTTGGACTGTTTGACTGGTTTTAAGAGATCAATACTGTTTTGAGCTAATGCATGTAAGTAGTTCTTGAATGCAATTAAGGCTTTCAAGAGTCTGAAATATGCAGCATTGACTCTGAGAGTCTAATATGCTCAAAGTTCCTAGTATTTTACTTATCATGTAAAAATATTAGTTATAGTCTTCAAAATTTCATACACTCATGAAACCATCTCATACTGCTTTAAATTACCTAAAATTTAATCTTTAAATATACAGTAAAACTTCAACATTAGCTCATTTACATTTATAAATTGACATTGTATACATGAATAATATATCAATTGTCTATTCTTATACAAATACAAAATAAAAACTACTTTTGACAGTACTTTAGTGGTATAATATTGACAATTTCAAACATTTGTTGTTAAGGTATAGAGGACATTAGGTACTCTTTGTTTTAAATATTTTTTATTTTTAAATAATATTATACATTCATTTGTATCCCAGTTATAGCCCTCTCCCTCTTTCCCTCCCAATCCTTCCCTTCCTCCTTCATCTCCTCCCTGCCCACTTCTGAGTCCACTGAGAGGGCTGCAGAGGACATTAGGTACTCTTTTGATCATGAAAAGAAGAAAACCCTGATATTGTAGTTTCTATGTATCTTTATCTTTATTTTAAATTTTGGTATTGGGCTGAGGAGAGATCATAGTCACTAAAGTGCTTGCCCTGTATTGATTCTCAGGACCTATTTTTTAAAAAAAATAAACTAGAGTTGCCTAGAGTGCTGCAATAGATTTATATTCCAGTTCTGGGCCCGCAGAAGTATTCCTGGGGATTGGTAGCTAACCAGCCTAGCCTACTTATACAGTTCCTGACTAACGAGAGAGCCTGTTTCAAAGTACTAGTGACAGACAATGTCTGAACCATGGCATCCAAGGATGTCTCCTGGGCTTCCCATGCAAATGCATACATGTGAAGCCACACATACATTGCACCAGCGGACGTGCTCGTGCGTGCAGGCAAGCACACACACACTGAACCAGCACACAGTGACAAACAAAGAAGCACACCCATGGCATACCAGGATGCACATAGGGTATGTTCCACAACACGCACAAATACGCTTACCTAACGTGGTAATTTTTTTCAATAAGATGAATTAATTTCTTTTGTTAACTGAACATCATAAAAGAGAGAAAAACAAACAAACAAACAAGCAATTCCCTTCATCACTCAACAACAGATCCTTCAGAACTAGAAAAAAAATAACGTGACTTACATTCCCCCCAAGGAATGTAACACAAACCCGTAAGTTCTGGATTAGCCTTTTATTGGGCTCAATGACAAATACACTAGGGAAGCAGTTAAGAAGGGGAAGGATGTATATGGACCACGGTTTCATATACTTCGCTGTTGTGGCCAGCTTCATGTCTCGAGTCCTATGGTGAGTCATATCATGAGGGTGATGCGCCTCCTTCCTTTTCTGCTCTGAGGAAGAGAGGGTTCCTGGGAAGGGGCAGGAGCAAGCTGTACTTTCGAATGGGGCTCCCTCGGCAGCCAACTTCAGGTACCTTGTTCTGGCCTTATACACTTCCACCCTTCAGTTAGTCTCTGCAGGTGCATAGCTGGTTAGGCCAAAGCACACATAGACACACCCAAAGGGTTTACTAACAGCCTAGATGTCTGTTAACCCAATGACACTAACAGTCAAGTATACTGCCCACCATCTAAGCCCACCATCATCTCACATGTAACGTTGAATAAACAAAGCCACTATGCCTGAGAAAAGCATAGTGGCTCGCAGCTGATGGAGGGTTTTGCTCTTCTGTTTTCTACTGAGTAGTTAAAGAAGAGAAATGAAATCTTTCTGTTGCTCATACTGATTTGGGATTACTCTAGGACTATTGGGGTTAAAGGGACATTACCTGTGTCAGCTAAAGTAGGTGTGACAGGGACATTTCTTTTAAATATCTTCAGAATGACATTCTGAATAAATTGACTTTATACCATACACAGCACCTAAAATAAAGGCAAATTATTTTAATATCTAATAATTACAGCCCTATTAATATCTGTTTATTTTTTTCACTTCTTTATTTTGGAATCGTCTTTCACAAGTGCTATTTTCATGTCATTTTTAACCTTCCCTCTCCCTCTGCTACTCCCATGTCTTTATTTTAAATAGCATGTTTGCTGAGAAATTAACTGTTGTTAGGAATGATCCACCATAAGATATAGTAAATTGGTTTTACAAAAAACTAGATAATATTTGGAGGATAGTTCACTAATGTGAGATGTACATTTGGCTTTAGAGATTTGGAGATTTAAACATCAAAGATGAGAAATATTCTTTGATTCCAATGTTTCTTGTCCTCAGTTAGTTGTTTCCATCTGTAGTAGTACTGAATCCAAACCTTCAAACTCAGGCCTTTAAACTCTGCTCTGATAGGCTTTCTGAGCTCCCCTTGTACCTTGACTTAATTCTGTCTTCCTCCACACAACTTGTACACCATCATCAGCCCATGACCATGAAACTTTGTGTGACCATTGTGTAAAATGGGTTGGAACTTGTGGACTGTCTTGGAGGAGAGTTGTGCCGTGCTAGAGTGCACAGTGGAGACACTTCCCTGAAGTGTAGCCACCCTTAGCCACCGCTGCCCACTCTCAGGCGCTGCCAACCCCTCTGAGGCACAGTCACTCTCAGAGACACTGCATCCCCCTGAGGTACCGCTACCTCATATGTGATATAGGCACTCTACATGACCACAGGCTACCCTTTCTGCATACAGCCACCCTCTCTGAGGTATAGCCACAAGCTCTCAGGCCTCACCACCCACTCTGAGGACAGGTAAACCCTCCTTGGGATAATCAGACTCCCAAGAGCTGAGTCTGAGTCACAATTGACTCTTCTCCTTTTCTTTTTTTGTGGTTTCAAAATTGTCTGGTTACCTTTCTTTGTTTAGTGAAGTCTCCTCTTTGCCTAAGGTATTTTTCCATTTTCATCTGAGATTATCCTACTGTACATGAAACAGCAAGAACACCAAAAGAAAAAAAAAATCTCTTTAATACAATTTTTGAGGTTGCATTGTATTTGACTATTCTTCTGCCCCGGACCCAAAGCTAACTAAGAAAAAGAAAGCCATACAATTTAACTAAAAAGGGAGCAGAAATAATAATTCACATCTCAAAGGTTTTCTGGGATATTAAGGGAGAAATGCTGTGTATCACTACCATAGGACCATAGAGCCAGGACTTATTCAGATACAATATAAATCACATGCTTTGTTCTTTGTTATATAAAATTTGTGTAATGTAAAGAAAGAATAAAAAATATCTCTAGATGGTTGTTAACTTTTTTACATTTATTTATGTATTTTGTGTGTTTGTTAAGATGGGGTGCGGGTTCTGGAGACCAAACTCACGTTATCAGACATACTGGCAAGTACCTTTACCTAGTGAGCCCTCTAGCCATCCTGGAACATACTTTTTTATTTTAGTTTTTAATTAGAAACAATTTGTAGTCTTTGCTTTAGAAAAAGTAATAAATCAAAAAGATGCACAAGTATAAATTATATATGAATCCCAAAAGTTTTTAAGTATGTACATCTGAGATTGTTTTTCTGTCCTAAAATATAAATAAACAAACTATTTACTCCACTTGAGAATGCCCTAAAACAGTGGTTCTCATGGGGGGTCA